CCAGCTCCAGGTTGAGCTGTTGTTCAGCATCTTAGCTGTAGAGGGCAGTGTCACTGGCCCTCATATGTGGGATCCGAACCGGAGCCCTCTGGCGTCCCAAGCCAGTTCTTAACCATCGTGCCACTCGGCTGGCCCCGGCCCTATCTCTTTTTAAAGAGACTGTTCTATGTGTGTGTGTTCTTCCAGGATATAAGTAATTCCGTTTTTGCTTATTTGCATGGAGATCAGACATCTCAGACCAACATCTATTTCTCAAATACCCAAGGATACAGATTTCAGAAGTATGCCCATGAAAGACAGGTATGTCCGTTTGGGTAAGAAAGTGAACAAACAATACATATCACGTGTGTGGTTGGAGTCATTAGCTCTCAGTGGGTGATCCAGTGATTTCTCCCTTTAAGAGTCCCGCTGGCTAGGAGGGTAGGAATATTCCTGGTCAAAGGAGCTGGTAGGGAGATTAGGAAGTTAGGAAAGGAGACAGAAGCTTTGCGGTCACAGCACAGTTTAGGGAGTGCTTCTGAGAGCTGGTGCTGTAGTAAGGGCTATGCATCAATTATGAGACTTAACCTCATGCCCCTCCCCCCCAGAAAATCAGTACCATCGGTACCATCATCATCCCCATTTCAAAGATGAGAGAACTGTACTGGGTTGAGTACATGCCTCCCCTCCCCACCCCCCAATTTATGTCCACCCAGAACCTTAGAATGTAACCTTGCTTGGAAATAGTGTCTTTCAGATGTAATTAATTAAGTCAAGATGGGGTCATGCTGGATTAGGGTGGGTCCTGAATCCAGTAATTTATAAAAAGAGGAGAGGATGCAGGGGATGCTCAAGGAGCAGAAGCCCGAGGGCAGACGGAGGCTGACTCTGGAGGGACGTAGGTACAAGCCAAGGAGCGCCGGGCACAGCTGGCATCCACCACAAGCTAGGAGAGAGGTATGGCACGGTTGCCTCCTCATAGCCTTGGAAAGAACCAGCCTGGCCAACACTGTGACTTCAGACTCTGGCTTCCAGAACTGTGACGATAAACTGCTTGTTTTAAGGCCCCCAGAATGTGGTGCTTTGTTATGGCAGCCCTAGGACACAGACACAGGGACAAAGGCTTAGAGAGGGTCAGGGCCTTTGCCAAGGCCATACAGCCTGGCAGAGCTGAGGTTCAAACCACTGAAGAAGACAGGATGCTTCGGTAAGTAAGAGGATGCAGAGAATGGTTTCACCCCCAAACATTTGGGAAGATGTCCAAAGGAAGGCAGACAGTCCACCCCACGCTCAAGTTGTGATCACGTCTCATATCTGGTTTCTCACTGCTGTCCTGGAGGCCCAACGAAGCCTAGAACCTAGCCAGCCACACATTTTCATTTGAAATTAGACGTAGAAGAACCCAGAGGCTACTGTTGTTAAGTCCCAGAGTCCAAAGGCTCGAAAACCAGGAGCTCCGATATCTGAGGGCAGTAGAAGATGGACATCCCAGCTGAAGAAGAGAGAGTGGATTAGCCCTTCCTCCACCTTTTTGTTCTATTTGGGCCCCCAAGGGATTGGATGATGCCCACCATGATGAGACTGGATCTACTTACTCCATCTACTGAATCAAAGGCTAATCTCTCCCAGAAACACCCTCATGGACACACCCAGAAATAATGTTTCAGCAGCTCTCTGGGCATCCCTTAGTCCAGCCAAGTTGAATTAACATCACGCAGAATTAACCATCACAAGTCCACCCTCGTGGATACCCATATGCATCTCCTTCAACCATACCCAACCTCCAAGTAGACACCAACAAGGCATAATTCCACCCAGCAAGATACAACCATCCTGCGTACAACAAAAAATGCACCAACCCCTCCTTCCCGGAGAAGAGGTGAAGTCCTAGAGTGATGTTTACTCTTCTCCTTGATGTCTCATCACTTAAATACCAATTATTTGTGCAGTAGTCTTTTTGCTCTGTGTGTGTGTGTGTGTGTGTGTGTGTGTGTGTGGTTATTAGTGGTGGGACCTGTGGGAGGTGCTTAGGTCCTGAAGGTGGAACCCTCATGAATGGGATCAGTGTCCTGATAGAAAAGGCCCCAGAGAGCTCACTAGCCCCCTTCTGCCATGTGATGACACAGCGAGAAGTCTGCCACCCAGAAGAGGGCCCTCGTCTGACCATGCTGGCGCCCTGATCTCAGACTTCCAGCCTCCAGAACCTCATGTGAGCAATAAATTTCTGTTGTTTATAAGGCACCCAGTATGGTACTTTGTTATAACAGCCCAAATGGACTAAGGCAGGGATTTAGGGCTCGAACCTATGGATTTGGGGTAGGACACAATTTAGTCCATAGCACTGTATAGTATAGAACACCCTTCCCCCAAGTAACAGAGGCTTAAATAATATTGTTATTCCTTCTCTCTTTTACCTGAAAGATGTGTACAGGTAGCCAGCTTGGTCTCATGCTCAAACTTGGCTGCTGGGTACTCTGCTGACCAACCAAAAATCAGGAACCTAGGCAGAAATAAAGGATCTAGGCATGCATCTAGCAGTCTGGGTCATACCTCTTCCTCCAACACCCAAAACAAAGCTGTCTTCACTTCAGGTTCTGCCCTAGATGCTACATTTCCACTGAGGGGAAATGGGTCACAATAAAAAGACTCCTTTGTTTTAGCTTATTGGATAATCTGAAGTTAAATTTACAATTAAACACGTTTATAATTTATTCATATGCAACTTTTTTATTTGTTTGTTTTATAGGCAGAACTAGTCGGGTCTTTAGGTGGGATCTTCTACTTTCACTCCTTGTCACAGGTCGGGCTGCTTCTCATTGATCAAGGGAAGGTGAGTAACTTTGGACTGGAAAGGATGATTTACATGACTTTTGCCCCAAGCCAGTTTTTGTTAAAACTCACACCCTTAGATCGTCATATCTAAAATCCATCTAGCTTTTCATTTACCTGTTCATCCATGTATCTATCCACCTAACTATGCATCAATCCACTCATCCACCCATCCATCCATCCATCAACTCATCCATCCACCCATCCATCCATCCATGCGTCCACCTACCTGTCATCCAGATACCTGTGCAGCCTCCCTCCCCCTATTCATTTGCTCATTCTGCCATGCACTCAGCAGTCTCTAAGTATTGCAGTTATCTGGGAGGTGCTGAGCACCAGGGATAAAATACAAGGTGTGGTATGTGTATCGCTGATGGCGCACGAGATCATTTTAAATGCCTCAAGTCAAACTTTTAAAAAATATTTTCATGTGCATTAGGAAAATCAATATATAAAACCTGCGCCCTCACAGACAGTATTTAGGATAGGACTAAGGAAGAGAAGTCCATCCATTTAAACTGCATTTGAAGAAAAAAATTAAGACAGAAAAATGATAGTTAGGACCCCGGTATTGCAAACTTTGTGAGCTGGGTGTGCAGCTCTGAAGTTCGGAGACAATCCACCACCAGGAAGCCGCCAGGCACTGGGCTGATATCCAGTGACTAAAAGCCCCACCCTCTAACCACGTGATTGATCCCGCCCCTCATTAGCATAAACCCGGGCTCCTGGGCTCCAGTGCCTGTGTTGGGTCCAGATAATCAATAAAGAGGCTGGATGTCAAATTAAAGTTTAGAGTTCCGAAGATTTTATTAAGCTGAGCTCAGCGACCGCCCCTCCGACTAAGGAGAAAACGGTCCCGAGGTCTCAGTGGATAGGGTTTTTATAAGGTGGGGGTTAAACGTAAAGTAAATTACAGAAGCCAAAAAGAAGGTGTAGTTATTTTAGTTAAAACTGCATCTCGCTGTTGCAACAGTGTTGTTATGTCCAGGTGTCTTAACAGTACATCGTGACCGGGTTGATAAAGTTAGTTTGCTTCAAGGCCTCCTGAAATGTTAACATGAAGGCAGGGAGAGGAAGGAGGAACTGCAAGGCCTGAGGAATGTTGTTCTTTAACCTTTTATTCCCCAGCAGAAGCAAAGCAGGTGTACAGAAGCAAAAAGAGCTGTTAGTTTTTGTGAAATGGTCCAATCTAGTTGTGATAAGACTACTTCTGTAAAACATTTTTAATATTTCTGTTGCAACCCATTTCTTGTAAAGCTAGGCATTTACTGTCTTACCGGGAAGTTCTGCTTAGAGTCTAGCTGGAGTAGCTGAAATATGATTTTTAAAAGTGAGTCTGTCCGGCTGAGTCTGTCCGGCCTAGGGTCTGGGCCGAGATCCTTACACCTGGAATTACAGAAACACTCCTACCACTGTGGAAATCTCAAGAATTTAGTGGCTAAAGAGTCCAGCTCCTGGTTACCACCTGGAGGCCTGACCACAGGCAGACACAAAAGCCCTACCTGGCAGGCCTCCCCACTCCAGACGTGCAGGGTGGATGCACTGCAGGCGCTGAAGGACTTGCAAGCACCTCAAGCCCCCTGGGCATTTATTCCTAGGCCTTTATCTGTGATTTTCCACTGAAGTCCAATTCCTGCGCCTCCCTGTGGAGAGAGGAGGAGGAGGAAACCTGGCTGACCCTTTTCTCCATTCTGACTCAGTCTCCGTTCCCTGGGTGCATAAAACCACAGGAGCTCCCTCCACAGCGAGCGGAGCCCTACACCTGCCTGGATCCGGCAGACCCTCCCCTGGTGTGCCGTTCCACAGGAAAACGGAACAAGGGGCTTGGTGTTTCCCTGGGCCTCGTCTCTTCCTGACCCCACCGCAGTAAGCGGTTAAAGGCTGAACTCTTTCATGGTTGACTTGTTGCCTTAATTGGCTGCGCAGACACCAGTCAGCTCAGCTGTGCAACTCTAGGATTCCAGGACTGTGGACTGAAAACTATTATCAACTAGGTGTTTGGTCACCAAAAGGATTTATTCAGGAAAAAGAAACGGTTGCAACCTAGTGCACGCAGACATGGCAAGTTATGTGCACACTCTGGGCTGTGTGCCAAGACAGAAGGTATTTATAGTAGGGAAAAGGAAGTTAGAACCATAGAGCTTTGTTATAAACAGAGTTCTCGGGTGTAGGGTTCTCCGGATTACGTAGAGCAGAGCAGGAGAACTTCCATAAGCCCTAGCTCCTCCCATAGGCCCTCCCAACTGATTATGTTTGCTAAAAGTTCCAGTTCACCTTTATCAGGATCAAGCCCAGCCAGTCCATGACACGGTGGGATGAGCTGGGGGCTGTGAACTCACACTCGCTGAATCTTAGGGAAGTTATTAAGCAGATGGGCTTGGCCTGTGTCCACAGTCGGCGGCAGGATGAGTCAAGTTCAGTAGCCCGCGCACAGCCCATCCTCACCCTGAGCACGACATTCTCTCTGTGCCCCAGGAGGCACCTAGAAAGCAGGCCAGTCCCTCCCTCCTCTCCATGGTGCATCTTCTGGGAAGGGGATGCAGCTGTCTTGGTGGGACTCGCTTAGGAACCAGTGACAGTGTTGGGGTTTTTTGTTTTGTTTTGTTTAATTTTTTATTGGGGAACAGTGTGTTTTCCCAGGACCCATCAGCTCCAAGTCAAGTAGTTGTTTCAATCTATTTGTAGAGGGTGCAACTCAGTGACCCATGTGGGGATCGAACCAGCAACCTTGGTATTATGAGCATTGCATTCTAACCAACTGAGCTAACCAGCCGCCTCCGACAGTGTTGTATTTTAATTCCATCCTTGCACAGTGCTGTAAGAGGTCTTCCATAAAGAGTAGATAAGAGAGAACTTGACAATCACACAGAGCAATTTAGACTTGACGCAGATAGCCGGCCCTTAGAGGGTCGCAAGGTGCGAGTGGCTTGATGCAAGAGGTCATTAGGAAAAGAATCTGGAGTGTGCGTACAGGTGGGTCAGAGGAGATAAATCAACTTGAACAGTAATCCAGATACAAGGGCACCAACACGGGCCTGGCAGAGAACAAGAGAGAGCAGGGCACCTCAGTCTCGGCACTGTGGACATTTTCAGTTCTTTGTCATGAGAACCTATCCTGGACACTGGGGTGTTGAGCAGCAGCCCTCACCCTACCCACTATGCCAGGCCCATCCTCTGTGTGATAACCACAATGTCTCCAGACATTGCCCTGTGTCCCCTAGGAGCAGAATCACCTCAAGCTGAGAACCAGTGGACCAGATAATAAAGTTTGAAGAATGTTTGAATAACAAAGCACATGGACCCACACTGGTCTATTGCTGTGTAATCACTGATTTAGTGATTTCTTTTATTGCTAGAGATTCAGTAGTCTTTCTCTCTCAGGCCAAGTTCGGGTACTCAGACCACCCCCTGAACCACAGTTTTGGGCTGCCGTTTGACTACAATGGGACCCTTGACATCCTCATCACCCCGGGCCAGAAAGGCATTCTCATCTTCTGGTTTGAGAAGAGCCTGTTAGTCTCCCGAAGTGCAGGTGAGTGAGGCCCAGGCTTGGGGCTGCCGCTCAGTGTCCCCCTCCAGGAGGGAATGGCACATGCCATTATTTTTTCCCTCCCCTAACTTGAGTGGATGAGGAGGAACCCATTCTCACTTCACAGTCCTCACTGAGTCCCCCCCCCCCCCCCGCCACACACACACACCATTCCCTGCCTTGTGGGACCTTCAGGGACACATAGGCAGATTCTGAAAATCGCCAGATGCTGAGGGTAGAGGGTCCAAGTCTTCAGTTTAGGAGTTGCAGATTTTGTTTGGGGGCCGAGGTTAGTGACTCCAAGACATGGGTCAGTGCCACCCACTTGAGCTTCCCCAGGCAAGAGAAAAATCTGGAAGTGGCACAGCATCTGCAGCTGGCCTAGCTGAAGAACCCTGGCAGTGCCCAGGCTACGTGAGTCCTAGCCCGCCAGCTTGCATAAGCAGAAAAACAAAAGGCAGACCTTCCTGTGGAGGGGCCATTAGGAACCTCTGCACACAGATGTGGCTGCAAGAACTCCTGCCATCACAGCCAGCTCCCCAGCTCTGGTCAGGCCACTTGAACATCGCTGTTCCTTGCAGTGCAAGGAAAGGGCTCAGGGCTGGACTGCCTGTTTGGAGAGCCCATTCTAGAAAGAAAGCTCTGCCTTATTCCTTACACATGTTACCCATGTGATAAAAGGCTTTCCATGGTATTCATGCCTCTAGGCAGCAAAAAAGCTTTCTTAAACCTAAGCATATTCCATACAGTATTTTACAACATTGCATCTCAGTGCTATATTTTCCTTGAATCTTTATCATTTGAGTCACAGGCCATGGGTGGGGTGGGCAGCATTTCAGCTATGGACACTCCTTTCCCACATGTGCCCATGATTCTGCCCTGTTTCTCATAGGTCAGCTCGTCGACCCCATCCCTGTGCGAGAAGGACACCGCATCTTGTATTCTTCCATTTTTGAAGCCAGTATCACCATCCACAGTGTGGCTGCCAGTGCGTGCCCAACTTGCGGGTAGCTTTCTAGCTGAAATATCTATTCGGGTCCTTGGCCCATTTTTCAATTGGGCTTTTGGTCTTTTTATTGTTGAGTTGTAAGAGTTCATTATATATTCTGAATGCAAGTCCCTTATCAGAAATTGGATTTGCAAATATTTTCTCCCAGTCTGTGGCCTTTATCCCCACTCCTCGTTTTTTACAAAAACCATTGAATACACCTCACCCCCCATATCTAGAATCTTTAATGTTTTCTTATTTTCTAAAGAACAAAGTCCGAACTTGCCAGGATGACATTCAGGTCCGTGTGTCTGATACATCAACTGCCCTAAGGGATCTCCCTTCTCTCCCTAACCCCGTGGTTCTCAATCTGGGGACACTTGCCGATGTCTGGAGACATCTGTGGTTGTCATGACTAGGGGGAGTGGTACTGGTATCTTCTGGGTGGAGGCCAGGCATGCTGCTCAACGTCCTACAGTGCACAGGAGGGCCCCCACCACGAAGAGCCATCCACCCCTAGTGTCAATAGAGCTGAGTTTGAAAAACCCTCAAAGACATTAGTCCAGTTCTCTCCCTGAAAACACACCTTCACTTTTCTACATCAGATGCTTTTTATTTAAAGGCTCAGCTCAAGCCTCATTCTGAAAATTTCCTTGATTGCATTTTTAAAAAAATATAAAAGTATACATTGGATCTTGTCCCCACCCCTTCATAAAAACTTTTAATGGTGTCCAGTGTTCCCTGGAACTTTGTATCTGCAACACCAGAAACGACCTCCATGTCCATCAGTGGAGCACTGGTTAAATAAATTATAGTTCATCCAGGCACCAGAATGCCAACTTGCCAGCTATATTTGTGTACACAAAAAATTAAGTTACAAAGCAGCCTGGAAGGTTCCAGAAAATGATCATACATATAAAATCATACTACCAGAAAGGGTGTTTACTAAAATGTTAACAGTGGTTATCTATGTCAGGGGTCAGCAACCCATGACCCATGGACCAAATCTGGCCCACCACTTGCTTTTCTAAATAAAGTTGTATTGGAACACAGTCACGCCCACTCATTTATTAGCTTGCACAGAGTTGAATACTTATAACAGACATCACATGACCAGCAAAGCAGAAAATATGTGCTATCTAGTCCTTTACAGAAGTTTGCTGACCCCTAGTCTAGATGATGGAAATTGGGGTAATTTTTTAAACCAAACTTTTTATATTTTTATTTTATTTTATTTATTTATTTATTTATTTATTTATTTATTCATTTATTTAGCTGAGCCATCCTGCACCTGTTGGCAGCTCAGCGGCTGCTCAGCTCGGGCCAGGAATCGAACCACTGTTGCTCAGAGCTCACACTCTTGAGTGAGCTCTTAACCAACTGAGCCACTCAGCCAGCCCTTATATTTTTAATATTTTTGTCCATTGAAACAAATCTCATTTCAATTTTTGTTCTGTCTTGTTTGGTTTTTCCTAGCTGAAAACGAACTGGCAGTTTTAACTCGGGAGAATAACTTGTATTATGGCAGCCTGGGAATCCTGACAAGTTTCCTAATCAAAGTAGGTAAAATCAAAGTTAGGGTTATTACCGGGTTGGTAAGGAATAACAGTCTTGTTCTCAAACTTCCGATACTGTTCTGAAGGCTAGAAACTGCTCTAGTTATTAAAATAGTAGTACTATTTTTTTTTTAAGATTTTTATTGGGGAATTGGGGGAAGGGGAACAGACAAGTTGCTGTCGTTTTGTTCTTCAGTCTAGTTGTGGAGGGCGTTGCTTCACTGACCCAAGTTGGCACCATCATTGCGCTCTTCCCAGGCGAGGCACATCATTTGCCGGCTTCTGGACGGCCGCTCACTGTGGCTGCTGGCCGCTCACGCTGGCTGCTGGCCATACATGGTAGCCCATGGCAAC